CGCTCCCTCAGCACTGACCCTCCGACAGTGCGGCACTCCCTCTGCACTGACCCTCCGACAGTGCAGCGCCCCCTCAGCACTGACCCTCTGACATTGCGGTACTCCCTCAGCACTGACCCTCCAACAGTGCGGCTCTCCCTCAGCACTGAGCCTCCGACAGTGCGGTGCTCCCTCAGCACTGACTCTCCGACAGTGCGGTACTCCCTCAGCACTGACCCTCCGACAGTGCGGAACTCCCTCAGCACTGACCCTCCGACAGTGCGGCGCTCCCTCAGCACTGACCCTCCGACAATGCGGCACTCCCTCAGCACTGACCTGGTGTTTCTGCTTGGGTTATACGCTCACTTTTTTGGAGTGTCTCTTAAACAGTTGACCTTCTGACTCAGATGTGAGACGGTGACCTACTAAACTCAAAAAAAAATTGCTCTTCCTTCCTCTCACCTCAATCAGCAACAAAGACTTTCCAGAATCCATTGAGGAATATAAGGCTACCATAGGGTTTCTATGATTCTGTGGTTGAACAATAAATGGTTACCGATCAATGAAGCACACACACTCGTCTTGGCACAGCAAGAACTGGTTCGACCATCCATACTGGTTTATTGGAAGCTGGAATGATAATTAAACCTCCAATAACTACTTTCACTTGCAATCCAATGTACACCTGCAGCCTAAGGCAAACACTGGATCTGCCGTCCTTTCTTTAATGTACTGACCCCTTGCTAAAGCATTGCCAGGCTCATCAGTCCTCAGCTAGACATTAAGGGTTCTGAGGAAGGGTCACCGGACCTGAAACGTTAACTCTGTTTTCTCCTTCACAGATGCTGCCAGACCTGCTGAGCTTTTCCAGCAACTTTGTTTTTGTTCCTGATTTACGGCATCCGCAGTTCTTTCGGTTTTTATTTAGACATTAAGGGTCTCGCCTCAGTTTTATAACACTTCCTTTGGCCAAAATGTATTCTGCAAATAAGAAAAGCGAGATTTAGTTCCCTCAAGAAGTGAGGGGCAGCTCAAAAGAGGTAAGTGAATGTCAACGGGAACTGCTGTAAAGATGGTTCCAGAAAATAAACATGAACCTACAGAAGAAAACAACTTCTCACTGATTACTGTCCCTGGTATAGTTTTAAAAACACACAGACACCACTCCAGTGTTTGAATTCCCAGAATACTGGGCATAAATCTGTCCCATTTATGCAGCATCTGATACCTGGACTTCGGGGGTTACGTTAAAGGGAGAGATTCCACAAATTAGACAGAGAATTTAGAAAGTTAAGGGGTGATCCAAATAAAGTCTTCAAGATATTAACAGGAAAAGACAGCGTAGGTGAAGAGAAACTATTTCCACACTGGTTGTGGATTCTAGAACTAGGGGCACAATCTGAGAATTAGGGCCAGACTGTTCAGGAGAGATGTTAGGAAGCAGTCCTACCCATGAAGGGTGGGAGAGGTTTGGAATTCTCTTTCACAAACGGCAGTGGATGCAGGATTAGTTTTTAATTTTAAATTTGAGACATGTATGCAAAGGTATTAAGGGATATTGGCCAAAGACAGGAATGTAGGGTTAGGCCACAGATCAGTCATGATCTTACTGGATAGTAGAAAAGGCTCAAGGGGCTGAATGGCCTGCTTTTATTCTTGTGCTCCTTACCTGAAGATAGAATTGAATTAACAACACATAAACTGGACAACAACTACACAGGCATCAAATTCTAACATTTACTTGGAGTTTTAAGAATTTATAGTTTGGAGAATTCAGCACCATTTTCTTTGAAGGATAGCGGAGAGTACCTGATAGAGGTATGCAAAATCATAAGGGATCTGGACAGAGGAGACACGGAGAAACTGCCAAAAGATGTCTGCAACAAGGGTGCGACAGAATGAATTGGGCAATCACACTGGCAATAATTGCAAGGAACACAAAAGCAGACTGTAAGAGCTTCTATATGTATGCAAAATGAAAAAGATTAGTAAAGTCAAATGTAGACCCCTCACTGTCTGAGTCGGTAGAATTGAGAATGGAAAACAAGGAAATGGCACAGCAATTAAATAACTACTTTTGTTCTGTCTTCAAGAGAGAAGATAGAAAAGAAGACAGAAAAGAACTTTCCAGAAATGCCAGGGAAACAACAGTTTTGCTGGAGGAAATTAGTGCCTGTTAAAAAATAATGGGGGAGAAATTAATGGGACTGAAAGCTGAGAAATCCCCAAGGCCTGATAACCTACATCACAGGGCAGAAAAGGAGGTGGGAGTGGAAATAATGGATGTGTTGGTTGCCGTCTTCCAAAATTCTGCAGATTTGAGGGCGGCAAATGTAACCCCCTCTGTTTAAAAAAAGGAGGGAAATGGAAACCTGAAAACTACAGACCAGTTAGCCTGACATCAGTCATAGGGAACGTGCTGCAGCCTATTATGAAGCATATGATAACAGGGCTCTTAAAAAAATGTCAACAGTATTACGCCATGGCAATGTGGATTTATAAAAGGGAAGTCACGTTTGACAGATCGACTGGAGTTTACTGAGATTGTTTCCGTTTTGTCAGCTTCATGACTCATGAGGGAGAACCAGTGTTTATGGTCTATGTGGATTTTCAGTTAGTTATTACTAATCTTCCACAGAAGAGGTTAATGTGTAATATCAAAGCACATGAGAATTGGGGGTAATATATTGGCATGGACTGAGAATGGGCTAGCGGGCAGGAAACAGAGCAGCAATGTATGGGTCCTTTTCACAGTGGAAGATGGCGACTAGTGAGGTATCATAGGGTTTTGTCCTTAGGCCCCACCTATTCATAATATATATTAACGATTTAGATGAGGGAATTGAATGTAGTGTTGCTGACAATACAGAGTTGTGCAAAGATGTGTCAGTGCAGGCTTGGAGGTTGAAGGGCCTGTACCTGTGCCATATTCATTTACCCCCTCATTTATTCATTCATGGGATGAGGGCATTGCTGGCCAGGCAGCATTTATTGCACATCCCTAATTGCCCAGAGGGCAGTTAAGTGACAACCACATTGTTGTAGGTCTGGAGTCACATGTAGGCCCGACCAGCTAAGGATGGCAGTTTCCTTCCCTAAAGGACATTAGTGAACCAAATGTGTTTTTCCAACAATTGACAACTGTTTCATGATCATCGTTCGACTCTTAATTCCAGATCTTTTTTATTGAATTTGAATTCCACCATCTCCATGGCAGGATTCAAACCCAAGTCCCCAAAACAATATCTGGGTCTCTGGATTAACAGACCAGAGATAACAGCATTAAGCCATTACCTCCTCAATAATTACTGTTATATAATAAATACTGTTCTTTGTTCTAGCTAGATGGGAGTGAGAGAGGTGAGGAAGGCGTAAGGGGCTTCAGGGCAATTTAGACAAGGTGAGTGAGTGGGCAAATACCTGGAAAAGGGTCTGCGGGGAGAATGGAGAATGAGCGGGAGAACCATGTCGAGATGAAGTGTCAGCCATGATCATGTTGAAAGGTGGATAGAGTTTGATGGGCCAAATGATCTATACTTGCTCCTATTTTCTGTGTCATGCTGTGAGTAGCTAAGATTTAGGATGCACTGCCTGTGACTGTATTGGAGGCAGGTTCATTCAATGGTATTCCAAGGGGCTCAGGCTGTTTCTGGGAAAGGAACACTGTTCAGGAATTACAGTGAGGAGGCAGATAAATGGCACTCAGTAAATTGCTCACGGTGAGAGAGACAGATAAACAGGGAGAAACAGAGAGACAGACAGACAGAGAGAGTGAGACAGACAGAGAGGGAGAGAGAGAGAGACAGAAACAGAGGGAGAGTGACAGAGAGAGTGTACAAACACAATGAGATGAATGGCCTTTTTTTGTGCTCTAACAATTCTGTGAAGATCATCCCTTTAGCTAATTGTTATATATATTTAAACACTGCAGTAAGGTGCTGACAGTCAAACAAAATAAAAACATTAGATTGCACTCTGCACAGTTCCTGCTCCATTAAATTCAGCTGCAATACTGTATGTTTGTATGTTTTGACTTTTCCAAGAAACTTATCTGATAAACTTGAACTGCTCTGTGTTGGTGTTTCTATTCTGCACAAGCCTCCTCTTATTCTTCTCCATCTCACTCTGTCATCATTTCCTTATGTTACTTTCTTCCTGAAGTGTTTATCCAGCTTACCCCTTAACAGCAACTATACATCACACTTCACCCCCTCGCCTTGGTAGCGAGCCCCATGCTCAGGGCTTTCTGAGAGGTTTATCCTAAATCCCCTGTTAGTGACTCCCCTCTCATCCTAATGGGGCCAGTTCTGTTCTCCCCCACAAAGTGGAAATATCTATGTTTATCCCAGATTTTCATTAGCCAGGGGAACCTAGAGTTATTGGGAAGAAATGGGAATGTGGTCTACAAAGAGAAACAGATCAGCCATAATCTTATTGAATGGTGGTAAGGCTCAAATGGCCAAATTATCTATTTCTGCTCCTATTGTTCATGTTTGTACTAACCCCTTCAGAATGTTAAAGATTTCTATCAGGTCACTCTTTTCTAAAGGAACAAAGACCCCTGTCAGACCCCTTTGTTGTGATCACTCTCAGTTTGCATTCTCTGATATTTTTGTTTTTTAATTTTAAATGTAGATTCAGTTTGGGACCTGGGACTAAAAGAACAGGGTGACAGTGAAAGGTTGGAATAAAACACCTCACTATGTGAGACCTGGGTCCTGGAAGCCTGTCTTCACTCTCAGAGACATCTTCATTCAAACTGCATCCTCCATTGATATGACATGCACAAATCAACATTGAGGTTTCTGAACCTCCACGGACACATCCCCTTGTACTCTGTCTGGTTTTTCCGAGAAGCATAAAGGTGGCAGGAAATCCCTTTCCTGAATCCACAAGCAGATTTTTTTTAAGATTACAGAAGGATTTGAATACATTTGCACTGCCATTTCAGGTGGTATAAATCGCAGCATTGATATGAAGGTTTTGAACTCTAGTCAGCTAGATTCTGATCAAAACCATCAATAGTTATTCACCATTATATATGCCTAGTTTATTGTGCATAATGGGAGCTTGTTAGGTACTATCTTAATTTTACCATTAGATACTGTCTCTTGTGAGAGGCAATTTTTAAAAAATTCATCCACAGGATGAGGGCATTGCTGGCTATATGCCCATCCCTAATTACCCAAAGGGCAGTTAAGTTAAGAGTCAACCACATTGCTGTGGATCTGAAGTCACATGGAGGCCAGACTAGGTAAGGGCAGCAGTTTCCTTCCCTAAAAGGACATTAATGACCCAGACGGGTTTATCCTGCAATTGACAACAGTTTCACGGTCAGTATTAGAGTCTTAATTTCAGCTTTTTATTGGATCCAAATTCCACCATCTGCCTTAGCAGTTTTGGAACCCAGGTCCCCAGAACGTTACCTAGGCCTCTGGGTTAATAGTCTGACGACGATACCACTGGGCCATCACCTCCCCTACAGAAGATAACCATTTATAAATCCAATCAGAAATTCAGGAAAAGTGCCTTTACCCCAAATATGGTGAGAATGAATCACTGTTACTTTCTGTTCAGATCCCCGACAATTCTAAAACACTATTCGCTGATTTCACCTCTCCCATCCAATATCAGTCATAATCCACCACACCACACATAACCCTGCACACACTAGGCCCCACACCTGTCACCTCTCTGTATTCATTTCTCATTATGTTCTTGTGAAGTTAAAAGCATTAGATCAATGTGTGTTATTGTTACATCTCAGTCATCTCACGACAAAACCCCAAACCACCAGAAACATTCAATTTCTATCTACAGTGTCTCAGTTCCTTCAAAGTGGTATGACAGGTAGAAGTGGATGTCATGTTATGTCTGCACAAGATATTCATATGGCCACATTTGGAGTACTGCGCACAATTCTGGTCACCCTGCTATAGGAAGGATGCTAATAGGAACAGTGCAAAAAAAAATCTACAAGGATGTTACTGAGACTGGAGGGTTTGAGTTATCAGGATAGGCTGGATCTTTTTTCCCTGCAGCGGAGGAAGCAGAGGGGTGACCTTATTGAGGTTTATAAAATCACGAGGGACATAATTAAGGTAAATATCCAAAGTTTTCTCCCCAGGATAGGAGTATCCAAAACTAAACAGCATAGGTTTAAAGTGAGAGGGGAAAAATTTTAAAGGGTCTTGACGGGAAACTTTTCTCACACACAGGGTATATGGAACAAGCTGCCAGAGGAAATGGTAGACGCAGGTACAATTACAACATTTAAAAAACATTGGGACAGGTACATGGATAGGAAAGGTTTATGGGATATGGGGCAGACACAAGGAAATGGGACTGGTTCAGTTTAGGACATCTGGTTGGCATGGACGAGTTGGCATGAAGGGCCTGTTACTGTGCTGTATGATTCTATGACCTCTATCAAATCAAACTTTAAACTCCTGCGTTTTTATTTTGCATCTGTCGCGAAGTCAGCATTCTTACATTCACCACATATTCTGATGCAGAGCAAAGTATTAATGGTGCAGGTGTAAAATCCTAACATTTATTTCGAATTTGCAACACATGAACTTTTTGATCATGCCCTCAGCTAACTGGTTGTGAGTATGAAGCACTGCAGCACAGTGCTGATAATGGAACATGGCATCTCAAGCAAGCTAAATGTCTGAGGCTACACTCTGCACAGTTCCCACACCATTAAGTTCAACACTGATACTGTGATTATGTAGACAGCAGATTGTGACTGATGTAGCACAGTGGCTAAAACCAGCTGCAAAACAGGCCAGAGTGGGAGGAGCTCAGATATCTCAAAGGTTTGAAGGGCTGGAGAAGAATACAGAGGTTTGGAGATGCAAGGGCAGGGATGGTTTAACCAGGATGTAAAATGGTAAAATTAAGACAGTACCTAACAAGCTAACATGGATGACACAGTGGCTCACTGGTTAGCACTGCCGCCTCACAGCATCAGGGACCTGGGTTCGATTCCACCCTCAGGTGATTGTGTGGAGTTTGCACATTCTCCCCACGTCTGCGTGGGTTTCCTCCGGGTGCTCTGGTTTCCTCCCACAGTCCAAAGATGTGCAGTTTAGGTGGACTGGCCATGCTAAGTTTCCTGTAGTGTACACATCCCGTTGAGGGATGTATAGCTTAGACGGGTTATAGGGGATGGGTCTGGGTGGGATGCTCTGTGGGTCAGTGCGGACTTGTTGGGCCAAAGGGCCTGTTTCCACACTGTAGGGATTCTATAACAAGTGCCAATTATGCACAATAAGCTAGGCATATATAATGGTGAATAACTACTGATGGTTTTGATCAGAATCTAGCTGACTAGAGTTCGAGACCTTCATATCAGTGCTGTCATATGTACCACCTGAAATGGCAGTGCAAATGTATTCAATATATACTTTCCAAGTAATTGAGTAAGGAATTGAAGGAAAACAAATTGCTGGGGATAAAGGAGGAGGACTGGGACTAATTAGATGGACCTTTCATAAGGACAAGGGCAGCAGGTACATGGGAACACCACCCGCTGCAAGTTCCCCTCCAACCCACTCACCATCCTGACCTGGAAATATATCGCCGTTCCTTCACTGTCGCTGGGTCAAAATCATGGAAATCTCTTGCTCACAACATTGTGGGTCTAACATAGCTTGTGGACTGCAGTGGTTCAAGAAGGCAGCTTACCACCACTTTTTAGAGGATTGTTTGGGATGGCAATAAAGTTGCCTTGCCAGCAATACCCATATCCTTTGAAAGAATAATTGAAGAAATAGCTGGCACAAGCTTATTGGGTTGGACAGCCTCCTGATGTATGACAAATGGAAAGAAATGCCTCCTGGTCTCAGTGAGTCATTATCTCCATGAGCGTCATCCTGTAAAAATCCCTGCTTATTTTGTGAAATGGCACAAATGTTCCAAATGTTTGCTACAGTTGTTAGATCAGAAAACAATATCCCAGCTAAAACTCTGCATAGATAAACAAATGTATTATGTGCAATCTTCATCAACGTGAGCAGAAATACACAACTTGCACAGAATTTCCAACACAGGTTGAGATCCTTCAGTCCAACTGGTCCATCCTACAGTGACAGTGTAACATAGCGCTACACTCTGCAAGATTCTCCCTTTTCAGATCAGATAGTAAACCAGGACCCACTCTACTCTTTCAGGTGGACATAGGGATCCAAAAATACTATTTCAAAGAAGAGGTAGTTCTCCCTGGTGCCCTGAGGTGTCCAATCAACATTCCTAAATTACTGTATCTCATGATTATCACATTGCTGTTAGTGGGATCTTGTTATGCATAAACTGGCTGCTTCCTTTCCCTCATTACAACAATAGTGGCACCAATTACTTCAGTTGCTTTAAAGCAGTTTAAAATGATCCAAGGTCACGAAAGGTGCTGCATTAATGCACTTTTTTTCCCCTGTTTACACATCCATTTATTTTCCTTTCCCATAAATTGACTTTGGCCACTCCTTATGGAATTTCTGGTAAAAAGAGGTTTCTCCTGAACCAGAGATAGTAGGAACTGCAGATGCTGGAGAACCCTGAACCGTTGGATTAATGAGGGAGTGTCCTCTATTCATGGCCCCTAGTTCTATTCTTTGGCTTTGTCCAAGGAACTAATACAATGTTCAGGAGGTTACAAACAGTTCAAGCAAAAGCGCAGCTCTGGTTATTTTTGGTGCCAGCCAGTACAGTACATGCGATGGATAACCTGAGTCATGTTTCCTGCAAAACTGTCACAAAGGGAGATCCTGCTTTGCCCAATCAATCCCAACTCTGTTTGCAACAGCCCATGTTACGTGTTGCTATTAAGGCGCGCACAGCCGCCCTGGGTGTTGTAGTTTTGCACGGACAGGGTGCTATTGCGGCGGGTAGAGCAGTGGACTACATCCCCCAGCAGCCTCTGCGGCCAGGTTGTTCGCCGCCCGCGCAGGCGCAGTGAAGCCCCGGGCCCTGGAAAAAAATGTCAACAGTCCATCAGCTGTTGGCTGCCAACGCATGCGCTCACCCAGCTGACCCGAAACAACAGAAACATGAAGAAACATTCCCAGACAAAGGCATTCCAGAGCTCAGGGGGCAAATAATCCCAATTAAACCAAGTGCAGAAGGGATAATCCATCAATCCAAGCTGCAAGGGGCAAATATTTCCAATAAAACCAGAGGCATACTGGAATATTTGTTCCATCAATATCCCATCCCTTTTTGAGCCACTGAAAACCTACTTACTCCAATCCTTCGAAATACGTTTTTCTTTGTGTTATATATTACTTGTTTGTAATACACAGGTTACCGTGAAGATATTTTCCTGATTAACCTGTTCAGAGATGTTATAACACACCTCTCGACCAGGTGGGATTTGAATCCAGGTCCCCTGGTACAGAGATAGGTACATTGCATTGCACCACAGAGCCCACCTTTACCATTGTGAATAAATGCAGTGTAAATGATCTGGATTTGACCCTCAAAAAACTCCAATCATAAATAAACTTAGGACACTGTCTATATAAAAATCCTAAAATAAGAAACAGGCATTGAATATATCAAAAATAACATGCGGATACCTGGAAGTCATACAGAGCCACAATATTGTCATGTTTCAGTTCCTGAAAGAGAACGTAAAGCCACAGGATTAATAGGCTAAACTTCACACCCAGCATTCCAGACGTTAGCACTTAAGAGCATTATTGTTAAAAATCGAAAAAAATTAAGCATCAAATAAAGTGATGATCTTACCTTCAATATTTTAATTTCTTTTCCCAGAAGGGTTTGTGACTTTGCTAGGTTTTTCTTGTTGATACATTTAATGGCAACTTCCCAATCGTGTTTCTGAAAGAAAGTTTGTAATTGCTGAAATCAGTTCGATTTCTTCTATTGGAAACAAATTGACCTTTCCCCATGTTTATGTGCTCCTGGGGCGGTTAAAAAGAAGTGTCCCTGTCGCATGGCATGCGTGAGGTTATTTTTTTTAATTGAGGATTGAGTGGATAGGTACAGATTGAGCTAAAACAAAGAACTACTGGAGATCTGAAACAAATAAAAACAGGAACAGAAGTTGCTGGAAAAGCTCAGCAGGTCTGTGAAGAAAAAAAAAATCAGAGTTACGTTTCGGGTCCGGTGACCCTTCCTCAGAACTGTGAAACAAACAAAACAAAAACAGAAATTGCTTGAGAAACTCAGTAGGTCTGGCAGCATCTGTGAAGAGAGTGGAACTGTTCAGGAATTAATGAATGCTGCCAGACCTGCTGAGTTTCTCAAATAACAATTTCTTCCTACTCCTCTGATGCTGCTTGGCCTGCTGTGTTCATCCAGCTCTACACTTTGTTATCTCAGATTCTCCAGCATCTGCAGTTCCTACTATCTCTGTTTTTCTTTTGTTTGTTTCAAGTACTGATTGAGCTGGGAGCTTCCTGCTGTAAGAAAGCTGACTGGGGAGAATGAGCCTGAGCAGCACTGCAGAACCTAAGGCTTGTCCAAACTTGCCCCGGCCTGGTATAGACCGGGTGTCCACTACCAACTCAGACAATAATGTAATCGGGCAAAATTCAGACGTTTTTGCAAGATGTTAAACAGACATCCGGTGAAAGTGCAGAAAAGGCTGCTGCAACCTGAGAAGGAAGAGAAAGGTCCAACTCGGACGGACAGTGTGTTCAGGGCCCGCAGTATCCCTCCCTCCAGGAGCAAGCAACACTGACCACTGAAATTTACCTCGATGTAGCGGCCTTTGAAAACTACAGCGAAAGCCCCATGTCCGATCAGATCCTGCCGGTTAAATTCGAATTTCCCCACACTCTCCATCAGCTCTCCTCTCAATTCTTTTTGGGTTTTGTTTTGCTGCAATTATGTGGTGACCTGGTTTGATCTGAAATCCTCTCTCCCAGTTCTCAGCCACGCCAGGGAGGTTCCGATTAGGGTTTGGATGGAGCAAGGCAGATCTCTGGGCAGTCAGGACAGAAAGCATCCCTCTCTCCTGCCATTTCCAGGGGCTGTTCCTCTCTCTCCGCCGATGCGTTTTCGGACATTTTTTTTGTGTGTAATAACAGGTAGATTCGCCCCTCCTGAGCGATCAGAGCTGGCCGGCGTTTCTCTGACTTCCCTCTGCCTCCATAGTAGATTGCAAGCCTCGATTTGTGTGTGTATATATATATGTGTGTGTGTGTATGTCTGCACTCCCGGGCTGCAGACTGTTTGCATACAAAGGACAGCTGAGATACCGAGAGAAAACCACAATCCTCGCTGGTAACTGTTGCAAAGTATTCTGCTACAGTGTTGGGGAAAGAAAAGGGGGCCACGTTCCCACTGAAGTCGATGTGCACTCTGCCAAGAAGCTGGTCCCACAGTGTCTGAGCTCTCTCTGGGTCAAAAACACTCGCAATGATGAGACAAAGAAGCCTGTTTGTTATTTCTCTCTCTCTCTCTCGGTCTGTGCAGCTTGGCTTTTCTGGAAACGCGCAGGCGTTTTGTTTTGTGTTAGCCCAGCCTGCTTTTTTTTCTCCTCTCTCTCATAACTGATGAGCGGAAACTGCAGTAAAGCCAACAGCAGGAGGCTGCAGACTGGCTTTTTTTTTTAACTCTTTCCCTGCACCCACACAGACACAATCATTCCCCCCATGCCCCACTTCATCTCCAGCCCTAGGGGATCCAAAGACCATTTCATTTCTTTGTCAGACACACAAAAAGACACGTCTCCCAGCTTCAATCACACGCAGCAGATGTCCCAAAGGCAGAACCCATTCGGTCTGTCTCGTATGTGCTAGCTCTTTATTCATTTATGGGATACGGGCATTGCTGGCTGGGCAAGCATTTATTGCCCAGTGAGCAGTTAAGAGCCAACCACATTGCTGTGGGTCTGGAGTCAAATGCAATCCAGACCTTAAAAGGATGACAGTTTTCCTCCCTGAAGGGCATTAGTGAACCAGATGGGGTTTATCTCTTCCTTCACACCCCCCCCCCCATGGGAATGGCCATCATTTTATTTAATTCAAATTCCACCGCCTGCTATGGCAGGCTTTGAACCCAGATCCCTGGAACGTTATTTCTAGAGCTTCCTCTTTGGAAGAGCTTTCCAATCAGTCCAATTTCAGCCACTCGCTATCCCCCATGAACCGACAAACAGTTGCCCCTCAAGTATTTACTCGAATTTCCAATGTTATTGAAATCTAACCAGAAAGAGTTGGGGAATCCTGAGCAGATCCCACTGCCTCTGGGATCTCGTAGCGTCCTCCATGGCAGGTTTGTGGGCAGTGGGTGCAGGACATTTAATCATAAGACCATTCGACATAGGAGCAGAAAGAGGCTACTCAGCCCATTACGTCTGCTCTGTCACTCAGTGAGATCATGGCTGCTCTGATAACCCTCAACTCCACTTTCCTGCCTTTTCCCCATAACTCTTGATTCCCCCCATACTGGTTAAAAAATGTCTCTGTCTCAGCCTTGAATATACTCACTGACCCAGCCTTGTCAGCCCTCTGAGGTAAAGAATTCCATAGATTTACTACCTCAGAGAGAAAGGAAATCCTCCTTATCTCTGTCTTAAATATGCGACCCCATACTCTGAGATAATACCCCCTCGTCCTGGCCTCTCCCACAGGGGGAAACAGCCTTTCTGCATCTCTCCTGTCAACTCCCCGAATAAATCCTTTCACAAAAGGTTGCTGCTCATTCTTTTAAATTCCAATCAGCACACAGAGTGGCTCAGTGGTTAGCACTGCTACCTCACAACGTCAGGGACCTGGGTTCATTCCATCTTTGGTAGCTGTCTGTGTGATGTTTGCACATTCTCCCTGTGTCTGCGTGGCTTTCCTCCCACAGTCCAATGATGTGCAAGCTAGGTGGATTGGCCATGCTAAATTTCCCCGCTTGGTGGACTAGCCATGGGAAATATAAGGTTATGTGGATAGGGTGGGGTGCCTCAGAGTGGGGTGCTCTTCGAAGGGTTGATGTGGACACAATGGGCTGAATGGCCTGCCCCCACACCGTAGGGATTCTATGATCCTATACAAGTCCAACCTCTCCTCATAAGAAACTTTCTCTGGACCATGTCCATCTTCCCAATTCCCAAAGTGTTACAGTGCATAGCGAGGCCATTCAGCCCATTTTGCCTGCACTGTGTCTCTCCCTGAAGGAGCATTATCACTGAGTGCCATTCCCCCAGCTTCTCCTCGTAACCCTGCACATTCTTCCTTTAAGATATTTGGGAGGAAGGTCACACAGTTATACCCCACCCACCAATTGCCCAGTTGAGGATCTCACCCTGCCCCCGCTGGTATGAGCCCTGCAGTGAGTGGGGCTCTCAACATGTGGGCAGCTTGTCAAGTGGCTCTACTCCAGGTATGTTGGCATGTGAATCCCTGAGGGATAGATCCCTTTATCAAAGACATCCAGTGCCAGTTGGAGGATCCAACCATCAAGTGCAGGTGGTAACACTGAAAGTCACCGCCTGCCCTTCCCCTCCTCTCTCCCCAGACCTCCCCCCTGCCATCACTGTCTCTGGGACTGTCCTCGATCCCAGGCTTCGAGTGGGAGCCAATGCAGCTGCACGCACCCTTCCCCTTCCCATGATGATCTGAAACAGCTGCTAGCCTAGTAGGTCAGCAGCTCTGAGTGGGGGCAATGTTCCCCCCTCTCTAGGGTGGGAGCACTGTTCAACTGTTAAACTGCTGTAGCGTTTGACATAGGGTGTAGTAGACCATCCTGAAGAGGAGCTATGCAGGATCCAACTGGCCAGAACAGTCTTGCTCATTTCTACAAGATTCTCCCCCGAGCTAACATCTCAGATCAATAGCCAATCATCAGAATGTCAGATCCGTTCCTCTCCATTGATATGGTCAGACGTTCAAACATTCTCTGTTTTTATTTCAGATTTCCAGCATCTGCAGGGTTTTGCTTAACTTTTACTGAGCCTATTACTACCCTGCTGTCTCGAATGCAGTTCAAAAATAAAACAGCAGTGAGTCCATGCCAGGGCCTAGGAGTGGGAGTAGGCCTCATTTTAATGACTGAGAGACAGCATGGTATTTCCTCCAATGCTCAGCCTTAGAGTGAGGAATAATAAACCTGAAATGGTCTGACTGAGAGCTGAGAATGTTACATCTGATCACACACTGAGAACATGGGCCAGGTTTGACCTAATTTTCATTGTTCCATCCGGAAAGGTTGACACTCAAGCACAGCGCTGAACTGGAGTCACCAGATAAAGACTGTGGCTAATCCCGCAACAAGTAACTCATCTCCTAACTCCCCAAAGCCTGACCATCATCTACAAGGCACAAGTCAGGAGTGTGATGGAATACTCCCCGTTTGCCTGGATGGGTGCAGCTCCAACAACACTCAAGAAGCTTGACACCATCCAGGACAAAGCAGCCCCCGCTTGATTGGCACCACATCCACAAACATCCCACTCCCCCCACCACCGACGCTCAGTAACAGCAGTGTGTACCATCTACAAGATGCACTGCAGAAATTCACCAAAGATCCTTAGATAGCACCTTCCAAACCCACGACCTCTTCCATCCAGTAGGACAAGGGCAGTAGATACATGGGAACACCACCCCCCGCAAGTTCCCCTTCAAACCACTCACCATCCTGACTTGGAAATATATCGACGTTCTTTCACTGTCACTGGGTCAAAATCCTGGAATTCCCTCCCTAAGGACATTATGGGTCAACCCACAGCAGGTGGACTGCAGTGGTTCAAGAAGGCAGCTCACCCCCACCTTCTCAAGGGGCAATTAGGGACGGGGGCAATAAATACTGGCCAAGCCAGTGATGCCATATCCCATGAATAAATAAAAAATTTTCATCTACAACCCACCCCCTCCCAATCTCTGTAACCCCCTTCACCCCCTCCCAATC